GATCTTCATCTCCCATGTGGAATTTACTGTCATTCCTCCACTCAGCTGCATTACTGCATGTGTGTTGTAGGATGAAGACTTGCTACTGTTTGGTCACATAAGGTTGGTAAGCTTAAGGTAAATAAAAGTGGAGAAATCAAGCAGCTGGAGATTTTAGGATCCCTGATATCCTACAGGATTCCCTGTAGGGGAAGCTGTCACTTCTCCCCCTTCCACTAAACCTACCTGTTTTGTGCTCTAAGCATTTTTTCTGGCTTAGAATGAATGGGAAGGAGTGAAAAAAAATTACAGGTTCCTTGTTGTTCCCTCAAGAAGTATCTGAGAATTTCTCTTCTTTCATAAGGAAGAAATTTGTACCTGCTTTGCTGCTTGAAGGACCAACTATCAGGCAGAACTCTTTCTGGACAGCCTGAACATCCTGAAGCATTGCAGATACACAGCAGATTACCAAGGATACTGCATAGAGATAGATCATTACATGTCATGCAGAAAATGATTCTGTATTTCCTGTAAATGTTTCATTAGAGCTTAAACGAGCTAGCTTGTCTGGCATGAGAGAGCAGACTATTACTTGGCATGCCAAACAATTAATTTTAGTTATAAAATGAGAGACAGAGAGAGCTTTAACAATAGTGATGACAAACTGGGATGTTACTATTGGCTTTGGGCTGCTATGTGAATGTGTATTCTCCTCATCCACTGACTTAAAAGGCCATCACAAGTTCTTATCTAAGAGCACCAAAACCAATTCCAGTGTTTTCATGACTACCAGCAACACCATGACCTTAATAAAGGCAAAAAAGGTGTATACAATACTGATAGTCTTAAGCTGATTTATCATCCTGTCCTGGTGCCATACACCTTCATCAATTGCAAGGAATAACTAAAAATCCATTCAAGGTATAGCTCAAAAAGCATCTTTTGGTCTGATATCAACTTTATGTCTGTTCTTATAATCATGTATTGCCAGAGAAACATCTATCCCCATGATGGAGTGCAGGAGTTTCATTTACTGAGAGATTCTGGGCAGGCAGCTGTGAGATGGAACTCTGGGAGCTCCCAAATCCCAGGCTGGCAGCTTGTCAGCCTGCAGCAGTTACTCTGTAAGGCACATCTTGAACCAACACAGGCTTCCAGACCCTGAAGGTGGGAGAAAGGATACGAGACCAAGCTGGATTCACCAAATATAACACACATGTTTGCTTTCAGTAAGTTAATGGTAATGGCAGAAAACTCCTGGTTTCATGAGACATCAACAAGAGCTTTAGCTAAAGTCTGGCAATAAACTGAATACACCAAATCCCAAGAAAAGCCTCTCTCAGAATTGTTTCCTGAAAGTGAAGGGCATATGCTATCCTTCAAAGGAGTCAAAGAGTATATGTTAATCCAGGACAAGAAGTATTTTCTTCTAACACTTAAAAATAACTATGGTTGAGGAAGCTTACCTGTTTCTTCCTGTTCCCTAGTAAATAATTCTTTACCTCCTACTTAAATTCAGTAGCATTCCTGCCCCCTCATTCTCACAAGGACAATAAAATCCTTGATTGTGGAGAGACAGACTGCTTTAGCTCCTCTACCTCGAGACATAGTTGCCAGCTCTGGGACTGATCTTTCAAATAACTTCAACATCATGCAGAGAAGAGATCTGAAACTGGCTGAGACTTCACCCTGCTTAAGTTCTTACGTGTATTTTGTAATCAGCTAAAGCAATGATGAGCACCAATATACATGCTATGTACTGGTCTGATACCACATTTTGAGACTGAGGCCACATTTTTTTCCACAAAGTCAGCAAGTGGGGGAAATTTAAAGCCTATCATCTCTGTGAAAGGCAGAACCTGGTTATCCAAACCGTGTAAAGAACAGTAACAGATGTATGACAGTAACAAGCCCAACAAGGCTTCAGCACAGTTGGGCTTGACAGCACTGTAGAAGTTTGATGACTGAAGAGCTTAATTACAGCTTTGCACTTTGTCAGACTCACCTAAATAGAGTCAGCATACCATAGTTTTCAAGTCATTTGAGATGATTAACTGTGGGGTAACTCCAGATCTCAGACTCTGCATTTTAAGCTCTCTCTGATGACTCAGATTAGTTTGGAGGAGGTACACAAAACAGGAGAGAATTAAGATATTCCTTTAGGAAGTGTGAATAGATAAAAACATTCCAAAGCAAAACTTCCTCCAAACTCAGATATGGCAAATACTGAGCTAATTCTGTGAGCTGAAGAGCTGGGCCTTTACAGAGTACTAAACCCTGCCTTTATCTAAGATAGATAATTGACCCTTCCTCACCAATACAGCTGACAGGAGATCTTTAAGTGATCAAAAGGGCCTGCTCAAGGGAAAGACACTGAAGAGGCTTAGAAAGGGTTTGCTACCACAGGTAACTGACTGCTCATCACTTAATAAATTTGCTGGTGTGTAGATGGCAATGACAGTATTTGTGATTTTTGGATTCAGCCAACATGAGAAACACTGCTAGGATGTGAAGGAAAAATGAGCATCAAATACTTTGACAAAGACTTGCAGAGGAGCTTTTGGAATATCTTTCCTTAAACTCTGAAGTTCTAATATTAATGCTGCGTTTGTGTAGTTTAAAGATTAGCATTTCTGCTCCACAGACATTTCCTATGACAACAACCAAGACAGGGAATTGAACCTGCTGAAACCACTTAGCCTCTGGTATAACTCCCAAAGCCTTCTGTGCACAACAAACTCGGACAGAACACTGACTAAGACACATGATTTAACCTCCCTCTACCTAAGTTTACCTCTATAGGACTAATCCCCTACATAAGGGCATGTACTACGTTCATGTTTATATAGTGCCTATACCTTTGGATGGAAGTTTTTCTGGAGTTGCCAAACATTGTCTCTATTATTGAGCAATAAACAAGTCATTTGTGCCAACACTCCAAGTCCCACCTGGGCACTATTTTGTACTCTTCTGTGAAAAAAAAAGTTTCTTTTCTTTTAAATGCCAGTACTTTTCCAAATTTCAAAAAGCATTCCAAGTAAAGTGCTTTTGATCTGAGTGCAAAACAATTCAAGCACAGAAAGAAGACTACACTTACAGAAAGCTTTCTGCATTGCAAGTGACCGTACAATATTTTAACACACCCACTCAGCAAAACTCTCCACTGTAATGTAATAAACCAGGGCCCTGCATCTGTTTTGGACCCTTCCCTAATGTCTCCTATCCTCCAAAATCCTGTTAAAAAAATTAATTAAAGCTTTCCTATAAAAGAACATGTGAGCACGGAGCTCCACCTTCCCTCCCAGCCCTAATGAAAATCAGTGTTTTCAGTGTACCTCTGCTGATCTCAGCAGTGCCTCAGGGGCAGAAAGGTGGGCTGTAAGCAGGCAGGCACCAAAAAAATTCACCAGGTAACACCACACAGAAAAGTAGGAACTACCTGACTGTCCATAACAGCACAGTCTGTTCAGAGAATTCAATCCTGAATCTTTTCTTAATCAATTCCAACTTTATGACATGCTAAAGCTTGATCTAGGGAAGACAAAAACTACAACAAGCAAACTTGGTAGTAACATGTTATTTCAGCACAGTGAGGACATTTATAAAACAGAGACACACATTTCCTTGGATACACATCTGCAAAAAAAACACCTTTCAAACAATGAGCAAAGGGGACATGATTTCCACCAAGCAATCTGATAAAAATCTCCACACATCTCCTCACAGCCTTGGTAGTACCAGAAAGCTTTGCTTTGGCCATTCTGCTTGACCCAAGAGCCAGACTCCACCAGAAATCAAATAATGTGTCACTTTTCTTGCAGAAACTCATACAGAAACTGCAACTAACAGGGCTGAACCCCATTTCAGAGTGTTATAAAACTGCTGTGCTTTGATTTCATATATCCCTGGTTTTAGCTTTGCATATGAAGAATAACTTGTGAAGCGTACTTGTGGTCTTACTCCACTGTTCTGTTTTGCAGTGAGCAGACAGAGATTGGGTTTCTGGTCTCATACTCTTTAGCCTGATTGAGTGGTAAAATGACAACAAGATCAGAGCCTGAGTGGACAAGGACATGTGAGCAATCTGGCTGAGTAATTACACAATGAAATGATAGATATGACAAGTAGCTTCCCTCAATTCTGAAAGTAGAGTACAACAGCTCTGATTCAAGGCAAACCAGATGATAATGTGCATACATTGGGCAAGACACACTGGAAGGGAGGCATTCTGTCCTCATCTTCCTACCTTTAAAACAACATATGGTATTCATTTCTAAGAAAGGTCCATTAACTTATGCTATTAAATGCTTATTTTGCTTAAAGAAAAAGCACAAGTGGTGCTAACAGCTGAAACGCTGGAGCTGAAATCCACACTGACAGAAGTTGGCTGTTGCAGTAATAAAACACCCACACCTCACATTACCTCTTCCACTGAAATTAACTCTGATTTTCCTGTGAAAAACATAAATGGATGTGCATATGTAAGTATCTTTAGTCTGGACATTCCTAGTAAACAGTTAACCTTATCTTTAAGGTAGACTAATTTTTTTTTTTCTTTTTTTAGATTACTTCAACATAGCTTTGGAATTGGACATATATTAATCCCAATACAAATAAACTGTATCCAGTACTAAGCTTTTAAAACCCAGATTTATGACAGAAATGTGGAGACAGACTCTTCAACAGAGGCAGGGCTTAGGAGCATTAAACTAGGTCAGGACAAAGCACTGTTCAACATGATTTTCTTCCTTCTCCACAGCATATCCAGCTGTCCTGTAACACTGGTTACTAGAAGACTCACTTCTTTGAAACTGCAGATGCTGTTACTGTTGTCATTAAATCCTGAAAGAAAAAGTACAAGCTCCTACTCCTCCCTATGAACCAAGTGAATAGAGACAAGCCAATACCTTATTAAATACTGGCAAAGCTTTTAAGATGCCTGCGGAAATAAACAGGATGTTTACAATGCACAGAAAGGTACTGTTACGAACAAAGACAATATTTTGGTAAGAAAAGCTTACCTTAGGAGAGGAGGAAAGCTCCCTCGATGCAGGAATTGCTGAAATGTTCTCACCCATGCCCATCTCTGTCTTTGGCAAGAGGTTTGGGGGTTCAGGAGCCTTTCTTTTCATCTTCTTTTCTGGTTCTTGCAGAGCAACTTTAATTAAAGCAGGGCTTGATTTTGGTTCATAAAATGGATTTGATCTAATTAAAAGAAGGGAAACACATTTCTTTGCTATCTCCTTGTAAATAAAACCAAAAATAAGACCTGCTTAGGAAAGCCAATGACTAAAATGCTTTTATTCTCCCACATAAGAATGTTTTACCTTTATACACTTTTAAATACATTTTTATACAATTGAAAAGTGAGTTACAACAGCTAAAACTGCCTCATTCAGTCATAATTTCCATGTTTTTTATAAAGTCCTGTAAATTGCAGAAGTTTTATCAACTGCATAAAGCTAATTATTCAATTATACTTCGCTATGTATCAAAGAGTGATCTGATTTTATGACAAGATCAATACCAAAGAACGTGTGTGAAGTTGCTGAGTGTTTAACACTCTGATGAACAGAATAAAGACAGCTTGGTTAGAACAATTAAGAATCATCCCACTGGTACAGTCATGCTCCCACAGGGCTTTAGAGGCCTCACTCTTGGCTGTCCAGTTTTGAAAAGTTTGGCCTCCACGGGTACACATTCAGCCTCAAGTATATTTCAAACTCTGTAGTTTACAGGCACCACACCATTTTAAGAACACTCCTTAGGTAAGAGAATAGTGTAAGAAAACCACATCTGACTTGCATATATCTCTCTGCAGACATAAGCAGGCATCACCTGTCTATTTTGAAAGCGCTTTTTATAACTAAACCTTATTTGAGAGCATTACAGAGTAACCATCTTCCACCAAGTAAATGCAGTCCAAAGAATTATCCTTAATTTGGGTGTCCATGTTCCAACTCTGCATTTGTACCACCCTAAATAAATACCTCCACAGCCAAATTTTATGTTAGCTCGGTACATCAAATATCAACCAATCAATAATATATCAAATAATGGCTTCTTCTACACACTTAGTAGAGCCAGCAGCTTTGTATCCTGCAAGGATATTTAAGGAAATATTTTTTTGCACTGAATTATTTCCTTTTTAATACTATTTGCTTTTCATATTTTGCAATCAAAATCTGGACAGTTAGTTTATTCTTTTCTAGTCCCTCTTTCTCATGGAAGATATATTTCTCACATATCTCAAACTATGATTCCCAACAATCTAGTTGTATACAGTTATTACATGCAGTGTAACCAACCACAACAAATAACCTCAGTCCCTTGAAGTCCTTTAGAATTCAACTTTGGATGGAAACACTAATGTATTAGATAAGGGCCTACCTAGCTAGATCCATTCACAAGTTCCCTCTCAGGATAAGGGTTGGGAGCTAGCATACACTATTTTTAAGAACTACAACAGCAGTAAAAAACAACTATTCATCCAGTTGCCTTCCACACAACATCAAATTTCTGTCCTTTGTACTTGTAATATGAAAATATCTTTCAGTCTCATAGACAAACTTTAGAGTTTATTTTATTGCAATTTACAGTCATCCTGTTTTCACTGAGAAAAAGCAAGTAATTAATACCCCACATCACAGAAATCTGCTTTTGAAAGGCAACGTTTACCAAAGCATGTAAGTGAAAATCAAGCACAAAATCTCCAGACCTTCCTAATAACCTGCTGCTTCTGCTCCTTACAGAAAAAGATACCAACTTCTGAAGCAAAAGGAAAGACTAACACTAAAATAACTCATTTGTTCACTGAAGGCAACTTTCAGGTGTTTCCACTTCGCTGCCTGTCAAGTGCAAAGCCACCAGTGCAATCAAAACTAAAGGCAACCAAAGTAACAAATTAAATAGAAACAGAAAGGTGTTTTCCATGGAAGGCAGTAGGAAAAGGAGGTATTCAGGCTGGAGTGGAGAATGCATGCAGTTGTCAGTAGCTCTAATTTAGCTGACAGCCCAGATCAGCTGCCTTCAGACACCAGAGAGTTCAAAGGGAGGTGAAAATGAAGATAAAAGAGATAAAGGCTGAGGAACAATGCATTCTATAGGACAGCACAAGGTTTTATTTAGTTCAACAAGTCAGCCTTCAGAACAGCCAACAGGCACAGCATGTTTGGTAGGAATTTACCTCTGAATTAGAAAGGTCTATTTGTAAGGTGTTAAAATTATTTTGGTATGAGAAAAAGCCCAACACCTTATCAGTGAGAGTAAACAGATTTGGAAGAACCATCTTTCTGACTTTTAAGCTCTAGAACTGCCTGCACTGCAGGTGTCATCCTGAAGAACTGTACCCACCAAAAGGAAGTGCTATAAGGAGAGAAACCTTCTTCTCTAGAGAAGAACTTGCTTGAAAGCCAGACTAAACCCCCACATTTTGGTCACAGAACAGACATGCACACGTGCTACCTTCTACTTTCCTCTCTGTACTACCCTTAACTGATCTTACAAATACAGAGCAAGATTTTTGAAAAATAATACCAACACACAAAAAAACAACCAAAATGGTTCTTTCCTGAACAAACTATAAGGTTTGTAGTCATGAGGAACTGATACACACAGCAGAGTTTAGTCCAACAGCTTCCACACAGCTCTACAAGAAATTAAGCATCTGAAAAGTCTGGTTGAAAAGAGCCTTAGCTGGAAAATATTAAAGCACTTTTCTCTGAGGCCAGCCCCATATTTACTGGCTCTGTGAAGTTATTTAATGGATTCACATAAAATGATTTGTCTGAAGAGACACTAGACTGTCCTACACAAAATTAAAACATTTTGGACCTGACAAGATACGTGGCATTAAACTGTCACTGACAATGTGACAAAATGGCTTGTGGCTTCTTGTGCAACAGGCAACTTCAGCAGATAGCAACTGTTTAGCCTTGCCAATTACACAGCATAATTCTAAGCCATACAGTGATTAAAGAGATAAGCCACAGAGCCAAATTATATTGGAATGCAAATTTTATTCTGACCAATTTAAAAATTATTTTGATCAGTCTTACCAGTTAGCTGAAAAAAAAATTTAAAAATAAACACTTTACTGAGGAGGAAACCCAAAGCTGTCAGCATGGCAGGGCTAAAAGGTCAGGCAGTATTGCCAACCAGAAGTACTAAGGTTGAAAGCATTATACATGAAGCAGTTGTGAGCTGTACTGTTTTCAAATAATTAACTTCACAAGGTGTGCCCTCCTTCACTAACAGGTGGATTTTAATGTAAGAAATTCAAAAAAAGGCAAAAGCAGTATCTTCCACTAAGAGTGAAATGTCCAAAGCAACAAGAGGAAAATGTGTCCCTTGTCTTTAGGTAGGTATGAGAAATTAGCCAGAGGAAGTATGTTTTGAGAGCACAGTTTTTCAGCAGAGTAGATGTTCTGGCTCACCTAGGTCCCTCTGTGCCACGCAATGCCTTGCGATGCTTACACGAGTCCATGACTGGGCTTTGTGTGTGTGTTATGAAGTGTTAGGTCTCTTCACAAACATTATGTATTAGTCAAATGTATTAGTCAAATACATTTCAATGAAGCAAATTACCCAAGGTAAATCCTTCACAGAGGTGCACTGAGGCCAAGTACTTTTTACAGGATTACAGTGAGAGTCTGTTACAAAACTGGAGTCAGAGTTCAGCTCTTGGGGCACTTCATGTAATCTCCGAGTCCAGAATCAGAACTAGGGATCTGCCAGAGCAGAGTGGGACAAGGGTCCTGATGCTAACTGGTGTGTCCATGTTCTCAGGACACAACACTGCATTTCACACAAAATATAAGAGGAAAACGCCAAGCAGTACATTTAAGTGAACGCAAATTAAACATTTAAGACATGGGGGTAAAAATACATTGTATTTCCTGCTAATCAATAAATCAGGAGCCTTCCATTTCTTCCATTTCATGCCTTCCACCTATAGGTTCAAAAGGACACCTGGAGACAGCCCTTGACCAGTGGTAGTCAAAAATGAAACAGAATTTTTAAAAAATCAAAAGACAAGATGTTATGAGAGGTTGAAAATAACATGCAAAGTTTTCTATTCTCATGATAGGACTCAGTTGTTCAGCTTTGTCTTGAATACACTGCTCAGGCCAAGTCAAGACATCTTAAAATAGACACATAGCAGAAGAAATAACAGGGTCCAGAGACGGGCGGTGGAAATGATTAGAGAGATGAAGAGACTTCTGTATGAAGAGAGATCGAAAAAGTTAGCACTCAGACAAGTGACAAGGAAAGGTGAACATGCTAGAGATAGACAAGACAACAAATGTTAATGGCAGGTAAATCCAATGCTATTAATTGTTGCTTTGATAAGCCAGCAGAGGAGACAGTATGGGATTGGAAAGGGAATTTATTTACAATCAACAAAAGAAACACATTCCATTAGAGATCATGTTTTCTTATGGAACTCTCTCCCACAAATTGACATGGAAACCCAGACTTCAACAGGCTTGGAAGAAGACCACCCACTTATGTAGATAATAAAAGCATCAATATTCACAGTCAGTAAAAACAATACATATCTGGACACAAACCCTCATGACTTAAGGCACTCAAAAACCACCAACCGGCACTGCCTGTGAAAATTTTGTCTTTGGTGCTCACCAGACCCTGCCTCAGCAGAAGCTTTCTACTTAAAAATTTGAAAATTAAGAACATGAGATGAGTCAAAATAGTGTTTGCAGATGTGATCTAATATTAGATGTCCTATGTTTCCAGACTGGGCTTTTATTACTATGCTTACTCCTCCAGAGTGTTTCAGTATAAAGATTCAAGGGTTCTCCTTGCCACGTTTCTACCCAATGCACTCAACAAATGGTCTCCAAGTCTTTTTGTATGATGTATTGCTCCTGTAACTTCAGAGGAAAATGTGGAGAGGAAGGTTACTTTGGGGGTCAGGACATAAAAAACTTATGTAAAAGATGTAAAAAATTGGTTTTACAGTGTTTACTGACTCTTTATCCTTCGATCTTCCCATGGGACACTGCTTTACCATGAGAATACAGACCGCCTTTGTGTTCAAGTAGAATCCACCTATGGGGAATTTATTTTTATCTTTGGGGAAAAAAAAATACAATGAAGCAAATGGAGTCATTGAAACAAGAAGGAGGCTGCTGTTAACCAAGGGCTAAAGTCCAGTACACAGCAAAACAAGGGTTTGAAGGGTTACAGCCCTTCAAGCCCAACAAGCCCCATTGGCACAGATCTGCTTAAGGTGGAAATGGAAGCATGAACAGAAAACAGAAAAAATTCTTCACTTGCTCATCCATGTGGCTTTTTCTCTTTCTGCTCCTCTCAGTCTTTGCTGTCCTCTATACCTGTATCTTGGTGAGTGTAAAATACACACATTTTTATTCCCTATGGATTCTGGTGACCAGGGAATGACCAGGAATGCCTGGTGTGGCTGTCAGTGTGATCACACTGTGCTCTGAAGACACAGCAGCCAGTGTTGTTTATTCAGGCACTGTCCTGACAAATGGAGCTGGCAGAGGCATCATCCCCCATGCCCTTTATTTATTTTTTTTGCTTTTATTTTTCACAGACCAAATATCAACATTAAATCCATGGCTGCAGAGCTTTAGAAGGAAAAACTCTGCAGAGCCCTTCGTATGTTTCTATTAGAGTGCCTGGGAATCCTTCCATTTCCTAGACCACAGCTACCAACAGAGAAACAGAAAGATGATGATACCATACCTCTGTTAATATTAAAGTAATGCAAATGTCATGCCATGATAAATCTCATTAAATAATGTAAAGTTAAATATTAATTAGAATTGTTGTCTGTAAAATTGCTCAGATGTAATCACCATAAACTGCCTCATGAGTGGTGTGGTTGGTGACTAATGACCACAAACAAGGATTAAGGATACACCTTCCAACCTCCCAAGCTGTGCAGGAATTGCAAAAAGCTCTCCCTTCCTAATAGATACTATACTATAATACAAGATAATCAGTGTGAGTTTATGGAAGTTTTATATGCTGAAAGAAACTACCTAAGTATGCACATATAGTGTTATCTTTACCATATATATTCCGTTTATGAGATTCTCAAAAATGTGCTATGCAGATTGCAAAATGCTCTCCCTATTTACATACTGCATCAAGATAAAACAATCTCCCTGTTATCATTGGCAAAAATTATTATTTTATGTAGTAAAAATAATGGCAAAAAGGAGAGGAAGGCCCAAGCTCTGTTGCTCCTTTCATTCCTGGCCCATTTGCAATTGTCAGGGCATGAAGTGTCAGAAAGGTCCACAGACTTGTTCCCTATCAAGTCGTTTGTTATCAATAAGGCGAAGGAAAGTTTCCTCACTGATCATATTCAGCTGAATAGCATGACCTGGGGGCATGGTATTTCCTGCTGCTGAGCTCCCCAAGGATGAGTCTGTCCTAAGGAGGTGATTAAGGATCACCATGCTTCAACCCAATACACCTCAAGATTAAGCCAGGGATCCCACTACTAATGCCTGCAAAGCTGCTGAAAGATGGAGAATCATACTTACTCATCCAGCTCTTCCTCCTCAGCCTTAGAGGTATCTGCATAGAGGTATTTGCTCATATCCACTGGCCTGACATTTTTCCTTTTTGCAGGTTGTGGAAGAGAATCTCTTACACTTCCAGGTGCTTCCGGCGGGTGATCCGGCTCATCAAATGGGTTTAAGTACTCTGGGGCATCTTCATCCTTGAAGGGATTGTAACTGTCAACACAGAAACTTTCTTCTGGCTTTGAAGATGAAGCTCTTTCAGGATGAATTTCTATCAAATAACAAAAAAATAACATTAAACAGATTTAATGAATTAAAAATTTGAAACCATTTTATCAGATCTTTATATTTTGAAGGCATATGAAAAGGTCTACTTCTTAACTCTCAATACACAAAGTTAGAGCCTTAGGTGAATTTTCATGCTTGTTTATTCAAAAATAGGCCTTTTAAAAGGTCTTTTAATTTAGACTATATTGAATAGGCTTCATTTTCTCACTGAAAGAGTTTACTTACAGCTCTTTCAACATTGGTTATTAGTTTTCTTGTTTGTCATATAAATGGCATCACAACAGATATTAAAGCATTTTCAAAAAAACTATTAGCCAATTTATGTCCTAACAAAATGTTCCTAATTATTTTTTGAGCTTTCAATAAAGAAAAAAGACATTCTGTATTTCATAATATTGCTGGATTTAAAAATGGTGATAGTAAGTAGGTGGCCTTTTCATTTCTTAAAATTACCAAACTAAAAATGAGCTATTAAGTATGACCAGTAATTACATTTCAAAGCATGTCTGCCCCTTGTAACAATACATAATCTCTCTGTAAAAATTAATTTAAATTAACCCTAAAGAGACAGATAACCAAATCACTCATCTTTTATTTGGGCTGTACAACAAAAAGTTATTGGCAAGCTGGAGCTGCATGCTGTTCTCTGTGTAATGTCCTTTCTGTGGCATCTGTTATTCTACAGTGAATGGCTTCTGGATACTGAAAAATGCAACCCCCATACAGCAATACAACATTTGTTACAAAGACACTTAGTAATGTTAATTTTACTCTTCTTGCAGCACCAAATAAACAGCAGCTCTGTTCAATACTGCATGTGATGGACTTTCAAAATCTACGCAAATAGGAACTTCAATGCAATGTCATTAAAATCTAACTTCCAATAACCATATCCACATTATTCTTCATGAGAAATATGTATTTCTCAGAAGTATGGTTACTAAACTGGACTAAACATACTTTTAAGGTTTAACAGAACAACTCTAAGTTATTTTTTACAAGAGTCTGAAAAATAAGAAGATGGACTGAAGAAATATTTGGGAAGACAAAATCTCTAGTCATACAAAGAACAAAGGGAAGCACTGTGCATATGTGAGTTTGGATGGATGATGTACCAAAGCTGCTAATCCTGGTGAATTGCTAGAAAATGTGAGTGTTCAAACACTGACAGCAAACATCCAGCTCACCCTGAAGCCAGCCATTAGCACAGCCCAAGGTGATGGAAAGCCCTATCCCAGCAGTGTGACCAGCTCTAGCCTACAGTGTGAACCAGAGCCATTCCTAGTTGGATAGGAATGCAATCCCTAGCTGCAGGTAGCAACTTCACCTATCTATGCACTGGACTAGTCACTAGATCAGGGCAAAGGCTCAGAGCAGGAAAGGCATTAGCTCTTCTCAGGACTACAGAAATCCACCTGCAGCCTGTGGAGGAGACCCATGCTGGAGCAGGAGCACAAACAACTGCAGGAAAAAGGGTGTGTGTTTGCAGTGTGTCAGCTGTAGTGCATGTGCTCACTCCTACACCAGAGTAAATGCTTACCCCTCAAGAAAAGGGAACAAACTACTGGGAGCTTACCCTGGGAGAAAGCACAGTTATTGCACAGCAGGTGATGTGTATGAACCCTAGTTTATGTGGTGATGTGATCATAAGCCCACACCCTTTTAAGAAAGCTGTTTCAGAGAAAGCCACACTGAAAGAATATCAAAGGTCTATAGCTTAACTGACAAGGGAAGAGAGCATTTAAGGCAGAAATTCTTAAAAACACAAAGATGATCAAATCAAGCAAGAATCCATCAGAGTACTATAGATTAAATGTATCAGAGCAGAGCCCAATATCTAAAATATATTTGTACATTTACTTTAATATAAACTGGAAAAGTGGTTCTATATAGACTTAGGTCATTTTAGTGTCCAATGCAGGTGGTCAAGGCAAGCAAAAGCTTTACTCTGCTTGCCCTGAGATGTCCTCAGTGTGGGTATTTGCAGCTGAGCTGACTCCTTGACACTCAAAGCTTACAGACGTATTTCCAAACTGTTTTTAAAGTCAGGGGAGTCAAATCCCACCCTTACTGTATACTGTATATACTGCACATACTCTACATGCATACTGCTCATGCCTTGAAGCTCGTGGTAGTCAGAATACTACTCAAATATTACCCACACATTTAGTGATTTGGTGAACTGGAGCAAGCAGAAGTGCTTTGGAGATGTGTCCTCAGAAGACAGTTCCATACAAAAAGCAAAAATAACTAATGAAATGCAGATAAAAGGACTGATACCTTGTTCAAATAGTGTGGCTTATTGACAAAGCTTTAACCAAACTTTTTACTACTTTAAACTTTGCTCAGATATTAGAATATTTTATCAAGAGAGTGGACAACTACAAATAGCTGCTTCTGCAACTCCATATGATGGATCATTGCACCTGCACAAGAATCTGTTGATAAATACACATCATCATACCTGAGGGAAACCTTCTGATAACCCACAAGAAGGAAAGTCAGTAATATATCCTGAAGTTAAAAACACTCAGGGAAACAACCTCTTAAAACTATGGTGTAAGCTTTTATTTTTAATTTAAATGTCTCCTGGAAACAATGAGTTAAATGCTTGTTTAAATCTGATAAATTTTAGGGGGCAATGCAAATGGTTTTTGCAATTCTTTCTATTTCGACACTGGATCAAGTGCTGTAACCCTAACTATGACAAAATTATTTTTCTTTTTCATTGGCTCAACAGGAGCTACATGTTTGGCCTTACAGCGTTATGTGTAAGTTCTCAGATACCTCTGGCTTGTTACTAAGATATTTCACACATTTCTACATGCAGGCTGAAATTAAAAAAGCTTATAAAAATATCATTCTCAAGACACTTTTATAGACACTTTTTTTTTTGTAGAGGCTCAGCTAGAACCCTGACTTGACCCTTAACTTGGCTACTCATTCTCTCTATTCTTGCCATCCAGGATACTATTTTCCTTCTGCTTCCTTTAATGTCCCCACAGGGAGGGAGGATTCCCACAAGGGTCCCCACCTGAACCCAAACAGGTTCTCTCCCATGGGATCTCTGAAACCCTTTAGAACTAGTTTTGTGTCAAATGTTGGTCATCACAAGCCTCTCTATAACAAATTAAGTTGTTATGATGATGACTCAACACCTCTGCTCTTAAAGCCACACCCACTGTCACCTGTCACTTTTCTGTAACAGACTCATTTTCTGAAAGAGCTAACGATGCTGAGAAGTGCACTTCTGCAAGCCAAACACACAACAGCTTAGAAGGGGTCTATTTCCCTCTTGTAGCTGATTTTACATTCAGAAGGCAGCACAGATTCCCCTGCTTTCCTCACATCATTCATCACAGATCCACATAGGACTCCAGTCTCTACACTAATATATTTTTTTTTAAAAATAAAAAAAAGAAATATATGCTTCCAGTTTGGCACATCAAGGGTCAAACACAAAATAATTTTGCATGATTAAGCAATAAAGCCACAGGGGTAGGAGTGACAACAAGAGAGGTAGAAGTATTACTACAGCAGAAGCACCAGCTGCTCTTGTGCCAGATTCTGGAAATATTACTTGCTCTAACTCCACTGAGAAAGACTGCTTGTGATAATAATCATTCTGGCACTACCTATCTGCACAATCAGCCAGAGCATCTCCAGAACTCACCCTGCCCTTCAACCCACTTGCCTTTTGTAACACAAACATATTGTGACACATCCCTTAAAACCAAACAAAACCTCCACCAAAACATCGCGCATACCACTTTCCCCTTGGCAGAGGATGAAAGAAGAAGCCACATGTGAAAGGTACTCAGTTACGCCACTGGCTGCCTGACTGGCAGGCAGGCACACGGGCACCATGGCATGTGAGCACCCAACAAACAGCAGAGTAGAGATGGAACTGCCCAGTGCTTCTAGAAAGAGTAATGACTGACATCCCCATATGGGATCACCACTGGTGATTTTCTGATCCTTTTATTCAAACACAACACACTGCTTTTCATGAAGAAATAGAAGGGACAGAATCACCATTTTCCTCCTGCTCCGTGTGCAGGACTACCCTTGAACAATTTGGGGTTTGCTGCTGCACTGTAACACTGTTTTCATTTTCAGTGTAAAACGTGCTGCAGGGAGCTCAGAAGTCCACACACAATGTGATGAAATACACTGCTGAAGAAAATGGTGATCTAAATGACAGAAGGTGCCAGCAAAGAGTTATCCTCATGTCTTGTGTGTGTTGTATAGGTTATATGCAACTTAAAAATTTGCATTCCCCAGCAAATTAAAAAAAAAAATATCTGGAGTGATAAAAGTGTGTTATGGTTTTCTACTTTCATTTGTTGTACATGCTGACTTCCCCGAGTAAATACTTTGCACAGAAATTAACTGATTTTATAATGTTGTACTGTGGCTAAAAATCCAAAAGGCAGTCCTCATATTATCATGTAAAGGTTGTCTAGTATAAAGCTGTAGAGATACACTGTTCAAAGAGATTATTTTTTGATTTTCCCAGATTTCTAATGTCTAGCTGACCTAGTAGATATAGAGGGAATAAGCCTCAATTTGACATGTCAGCCAAGAAACACATCTGACAATTTTTTTGAGGTGAGTTGTTCATATGCACATTCACTCTGCTGTGTGTGTAAAAACACTGACACTGAGGACTTTTTAAATCCCAGCAGCATCCAGAGCCAGCTTGCTGATGACCCTCTGGCACACACCACACCTACAGCGTGCACACGGGCGCTGGAAACACTCATGCCTTTAGTTTCTCTCCACCCCACATTCCCAGGGTTAAGTGATTAGGGGATTAGGAAGATAGAGGGAAAGTAGCTGGTTTGTGAACAGGCACAAGAAATATCTGTCTAGGAAACAAGTATATACTGGCAAGTAATCCTCCTTTGTCTTTGAGTGACTGTCAATACATACATATTCATACTCTGGGTGACTCTGAGCACACACACTACAGGCTTGATAGGAATATCCTAGGAATATCTCTGCCAAATAGCACATCATGCCTCCTCACATCTGATGGCAAAGTAGTCAGGAAAGGAGGCTCCAGCTGGCTGCTCTGCATGTCTTGGGGAAATTAAGTAACAAATTCTACAGAAGACTCTGAACTTTCGCAAAGTCTAAGTTCCAGATTATGTCTTGTCCAGATAAAAAGATAAAGAGACTAACATGCAAGTGAACAGAAAAATACTTCATCCCTGCACACAATAAAAAGTTAATCTCTTGATTTAAGCAGATCACAAGACAAGTGAAACAGGTAATGTGACTCTTTAAGCCTGTAGGAGAAAGCCTGCCTTAAACTCCTGAACCTCTGTCATGCTCTCAAGCTTCTGGGGTGGCCACCAAAAAGGTTACATTCACTTCGGGATGCAAAAGCAAACAAGCAGGCAGTCTCAAAGAGCTTCCTAGAAAGAGATGGCAGTAACAAAAGTTCCACTGAGGTCTCAGAATAAAAGAATCATGAGTGAATAATGGGACGCAAACAGGGCAGCCTTCAGCAGTTGGGCAACAGGATGAGAACAGCTACGATATTGCGTAGCCTCAAAATGCATTTCAAAACAAAGGGAAATCTCAAAATGGTAATGTCTAGGTGCTTCCCATAGAGACACTGATCCAACTAGCCACAGAAACACACAGCAGACTCCTACTGTTGCTGAAGACCAAAACCATCTTCTTTAATTTGCCTCAGCACCATTTTTTTCTCCCTCTCAACTTTCTGTGGAGGAAGAGGACTGGAGGAAAGGTACATGTCAAGAAGGCCAAACAAGGTAATGGGAACACAACCAGCTCCCATTATAGGGACAAGACAGGTCTGGAGTGCAAGAACCAGTGACTCTCAGTGGTGTCTGAGGTAAAAAGAAGGATCCCTTGGGAGCCACTCATCAAAACATAAAAGCTTTAAAAATGCCACACCAGATGTCCAACTCTTTGACAGGCTGGAATCACTCTTTCAGCTGATCTTTCAGCCTGATTTAGTGCTCCAGGAAGACACTGTCACATGAACCTTACTGAAGGCCCACTCCTCCCAAATAAAAAACGCTTTATGACACAGTAGGAAGAATCTAGTGACACCCTGTTTATCCCAGTCACTGTCCTGTTATGGTATGTTGACTGCTGCATGGCAGTGACTGTGTGGGAGAATAATACTTGGTATTCACACACCCAATAACTCAGCGCTGCTGCCCACAGCTGTAGATGGGACCCAAGAGTCTGATCACAGAGACTGCCCCAAGTACACAGAACAGACCCAGAGAAATGGAAAAGTGTTCACACCTCTGACTGAAGAATACTGTAAAGGCAGATATCACCAAAAGAATCACAATCAACTGAAAAAAAACATTCCCCTGATATGCTGAGAGTGCTTTAGGAAGGTAAGCAGTCTGATGTCTTGGATGCAGACTGCTCAAAATGACCTTGCTACAAGTTATCAAGCATCCCCAGCAGTAAGAAACAACACCAACTGTCTCTCTCTGTTCCCAAGAGGAGAAAGAGTGACTGCATTTTGTGGCCAGAACACCCACTGCTTTCTTCCAAAATGGGTTCTCTCTGGAAAGGAAAGAAAGGCTGGGGCTGGAAAAAGCAGTTTAGGTAGGACAGGACTCGTACAGCTTTTTCCATGGAGAAGGGAGCTCTCCTTTCTGAAGTAGAAAGGAGGAAAGGAACATAGGCTGAATCTCTTAGAGCAACTTTTTTATGGACTACCAGAGGGATTTACATTCCCACTTATTCTGTTTCCTTCCATGATCCCAAGGGAATTCACTGTCAAGGGACAGGCAGGAAAGCCAAAGATTAGGACACCAGAACCTAAACCAAATATATTGGTATCTACAAAGCTGAAACAACTCACTTCTGCAGCTCTAGAAAAACCTGACAACTTTATAATAGGGAGAAGGTGCCCAGGATAGTGGCTTTATGGCTTCAGTTGCCAAATACAGAAGATAGTGCAATGTCCCTGTTTCAGAAATACAGGCTGTGAGTCACACCACAGCCAAAGTATGACAGGACTTGATCTCCACCCACATCATTCTCCGTGGACTCTGAAGGCAGAAAAACTTTGTTGTGAGTAAACATTCAGCTTGTCCAAAGAAAGTGAGTGACCAAAGGTGGAAACTACAGCTTGGAAACCCATTCTCTTTGACCTGACCTTAGAAACCCCCTGGATGCACCCTGGGCTGCTCCTGCTCAGTGTGGTTCTTCTCCACTGCCATAACAGAGTGACTTGGAATTTTCTGTAGGAAGAAAAGTCCTGGAGCTTTGAACAGGAAAGGTTGAGTACCGCTTCAAACTTGGGAATTAACTATGAATTGGCCTTTTGAGCAACTGCACGCTAGAAGTGAAACATCCAGCAGACGGGAGCCTGCATATCTGGGCATGGAGTTGAGGACAGCAGAGATGTTTGCTGTCCTGGTGCTCCCTTCTGGCCTCACGTCCAAAATCTTATCAGATTAAAAATTTACAGGGGTTGTACTTCTCACCCAAATGGAACAAGAATGGGCATGTCAGTCTGGAAAGGGGATTAACACCTAGCATGTGGTGCAAGGCACAATGCCAGAAGGCTTAACTGAGGAAGCTATAAAAGCAAAAAAAAAGGAAGAATAAAAGAGGGAAAATTAAATTGCAATAATGAAGATTAGTGCTAACCAAGAATAGCTGTGATGCAGAAGATTGCAGTGAAGGAAATTATCATAGAAACCATCACCCACGTGGAGCAGGGTTGTCTGACAGAATGTGTTGCTTATTCATACCACATAAGGTGAGTCCTAGTAACACACCTGATAGGTCTAAAAGTCTCTGCTTCAACTGGTAGCCCCCAGTGGCAAATACACAGAATGCACCTCAATACAAAGGGTGTGCCTCAAAGGATAAATCAATTTTCTAGTGGCAACTGGATCATTGCTATTGCTACCTCAGTGCTACATGAAATAATTGTATTTAATCAATTAAAATGTTACATTTCTAGCCCTACAGAAATAAAAATCATGTTTCACAAAGCATTTGCAAGTAGCAATGAATTATGTAAAATAAATCCATTACCTTCTACATCAGGGTCTCCAAATGGATTTAATTCTGCTGTGTCAGGATCACCAAAAGGGTTCGTGCTGGAGTTGGCCAGGTCTTGCTCCCCTTCATCCAGAAAATTAAGCTTATTGATAAGCTCTACAAACAAATTGGAATATTGTTTTAGAATAGATACAAGCTGTTCATCCAACATATCTGGAGCTCAAAAAGCCCCGTGTCAACAGTCCCTCGAAACACTGCACCAGGGTATGGCACGAACTGCACAACTAAGTTAACACAGTCCAGTAAGTACATCAACAAAGGGAAAAAAAAAAAGTGAAATGAATGAAACTTCTATTTTCTGATCAGAACATTATGTAACAGAAATGACTTCTAAAAAAGCCTTCTCTTTTCTTCATTAAATAAACGTTGCAGAACATCTAACAAGCTAAATACGGTGATTTTGATTATTCACATACATGCTAACTATCGGCAGGAAATTTTAATTTTTGGATGTAATGTGCACATAAAAGCAGAGAGAGGACATTTTGTCACTTTAGAAAGGTCAAGTATTACTGACTACACAACTAATGTTTTAAGCTTAAGGTCTGGTGGTTTCTCTTTCTTTTTTTATGTAATTTTTTTTCTTTCTTGTTCATTATCAGATGACAACGGAGCTGTAGCGGAGACAGGCTCTTTCTCTATCATGTTGTTACCTGTTGGATGCACTACAAATTACTGAGAGTCATGCTGGGTGGAAGCACAGAGATAAAACTGACAGCTGAATACAGGCAGGAGTCAAAAGGTAATGGGTCACAGTAAATACAATCAGAAACAGAAAGAAAGGATGAAAGCTCATAGACCTTCAGAGGAACTGGCTGATTTAGCTGAAGGCATATTTGCTCGCTTTATGCAGTCATCTTGATCTTCATCTAAGCTGCTCAGAGCATTCAACTGGTTTACAATTTCTGTAAATAGAAGCCAGTCAAGACAAATGTAAGGCAAGGGCATTTAATGAAACAGAAGTGGAACGAACACTGTTACCAGAAAGAGAGAGAGAGCGAGGGAGAGAGGGTAAAAGAATAGATTTAGAACGAATCCTTACAATTATATAACTACAGCAAAGTACCCGTTTAGGTGCTTCAGGGATAATTTAACATGAAATCCAGTTAACAAGACATAAACAAAACCTAGCCAGGTTATGGTGTCAGCAACAATAGTTAGTTTTATGAGGATGACTATTATGCACATCACTTGCAAATTTAGATAGATGTACTAGATATAATTTAAAGATTTTTCCTGCTCATGAAGAAAACCTGAATATGAAACATTGTCAACCAACACAAACCAGCCCCCCCACCCCAGGATAAACAATTTCTCTCTCTCCCAAACCCATAAGGTTACAGAAAACTAACCTATACAACATGCATTTTTATGGGTTTTTTGTTAAAATTTATATACACACTCTAATTGTTTAATATTTACGATTAGTCATCATTACATTCTGACCCATGACAACCTGAATTTACCTAAGTAGTTCTAAAAGACATGATCAGTATGTACCAGGAGAATGCAAACTGAATGTATATATCAGTTGAATTTTCACTGTCATACTACATAACTAGTACCTTGCTGTTTGTTAAAATCCTATTTCACCTTCTGTCCATAATGGAGAACTCTGAATTGCCATGAACTAGCGATTTTTAAAATGTGTTCATGTTTGATTCTAGTCAAGATGGGGAAGACTCCATAATTCTGGAAGGCAAGAAACAGAAAAACAACTAGTTCTGAGAGGCTTCTGGCCCAAGGGGAAAAATTCCTCTCTGCTCCCCCCTAACGCAATCCCATCCACAGCATCTGACAAATGGAGCTTCTGTAGTAATGGGGATTGAGCCTGGGGCATCTCTGAGAGACCTGAGTGTAAGTTTCTGTGGAGAAGGGACAGCCTTCCTCATCCTTCCAGATGACAAAGAGGCAAGAGAAACCTGTGCAGGAGAGATGATCCTGCTTGTGGAGTATCACTGCCCCACTGACAGTCTTTTTCATCTCCTGTCTTTTCCCAGTGAAATAAATGATGCCTTCTGGTGTCACCAGTGAAGTTAAAGCTTCATGCCAGTCATTCTTGTATTTCCTTTAACGTTTCATTTCTTGTGTACAGAGGTTACCTCTCAATAACACTTTTAGTTTACTGCTGTTTTGAACTTGACTTTTTCTCATCTGGCTTTTGTTTGGGAAAGCAAAATTTTGTCTTTATTCAGTGAACTAGTTTTAGGCAGCAAGATATTGAACTTAGGTAAAAATTGAGTAGTATCCTGACTGTACCAATGCATGCTGGTGTTCATGGCCACTCAGAATTTCCTAGTCAGGGGGGCTGCTTCTTGGTTTTTTATAGCTGACACACTGACACCCCTCCTGATTTCATGCCTTCAAAGAACCTGAAGCCCAAAGCAAACCAGAACCTGATAATATTTCTGTCACATGGATAAAAAGTTACTTTGGCAAATTTAAATGGCTTTACAAAGACGATCTGAAAATTACCAAGGAAAATTACCTCCTCTGCCAATATCTACTGGACATCCTAAATGCTGACAGTGACAAACCTCAAGCAGAATTCCTCTGTAATGCACCTCCCACCTGATCCTGATCTTAAAGCATAAATGTGCTTACATGGGATTACACTTATATCTGTCTACACACAGTTAACTTAATCATCCTCACTTCCTTATTTTTGGCTCCAAAATACAAGACTATTATCCTAAAAAATAACACAAAAACTACCCCAAAACTTAGCTTTCTCAATAAAAAAGCATACATACACCTGAGAAGTCTGCATAATGTAATACTATCTTCTGGGAATTTTTAAGACTTGAGATAGACAATGGAACATATTTTTCTGTATTCAAATAAAACAGAGCTGACCTCATAAAACAGCAGTACTAACGAATTAGTAGTTAAAAACAAGCTCAGATGCTGACATGATTTACAATTTATTATGTCAGCATGTGAAAAAAAAACCCCAAAACAATTATAATTCAGTTTTTATTGTCAGAAAATAACAAATTAAGTTCAGAGCTTTAAAAAGAGGGAGTTCTTTGATGTGGTCTGAATCACCTGGTCTTATCTGCCAACCTAAACACCCATATGCACTACAATGTTTCTCATTACAATATTAAATGGTTTATGTCATATTTTGGAGTATGGAAATGGTAGGTTGGAGATTTATATCCTATATTATCTTTTATAAATCTCATTATCTACAAACACACATTAGCTTGTTCTACAAGTATGTCACATAAATCACTGGTTTGGTTTTTGGGTTTTTTTTAATTCTTCTCTCTTTCTTTTTTATTTTTTTCCAAGCAGCTTGGTGATCCTGACAAAGAAAAAGAGGAAATATACTACAAGCTGTCAGGAGAGGTATGGTTTTTTTAAATTGCAAAAAAGGGTTACACATATTGTTATCCAGAAGCTTGCTCTTGAAACATGCTGGGATTCAGACTCCTGCAATAGGTAGCACATGGGCACATTGCTGATTCCATGTGGTGCCCCAGGACAGACACTGTGCTCCTGGGCAGATGGAGCAGGAGGCAGCTATTAACCCCAGCATGAGGCTCTAAGTAGGAATTAAAACATTAAGAGAAGCAACATATTTATTACTGCCCTGTTTGTGAGTTGTGAGGCACATTGTCTTCAAGCACGAGATGTCTTGTGTTCCACTGAAGACTAAGGACAGGAGATTTAAAATTCTGGGAGATTTAAATCCATGTATATTGACAGTGTAGAAACTAAATATTTGAAAATTAATTCATGGCAACAAACAATTTTCAACTTTACATTGAATAGCTGGGGGAGATACAGAACACATGAAAAATTTCAACAAGAAATACTGGGAAGGAAGAGGGGGAAAGCCTGAGAAGGAGGGAGATTTTTCCAAGTGAAAGTAGTGCTTGGAAAGGAAAACATCTTTCAGTCCGGTCAGTCGTATGGCAACAGTTCCATGTTGACCACCCCAAATTCCACAGTGCTTTTGAGGTCAGTCAGTATTGCACCACCTACTTCATAGCTGAAGAAACAGAGGCACAGATACCTACTCAAAGTTAAGCAACCCATCAAGGAAGAGAAGCAGCATTTCCTAACTCACCTGCACCATCTAGAGCCCCACACAGCAGACCTCCCTTGTTCTCCCAGCACTGGATATATATGTTCATCTATGAAACTGCAACTTTGGCACAATGAAAAAAAAACAAAACCACAAACAAAACCAACAAAAATTTTTGTACGCTGCAAAAAGAAACAGTGTCTGATAAAAGCCTTGCAGCACCTCTTGCAACCTTGGGAACGATAACTTTTCCACCATCAAGCCATCCCTTGTTTCTGTGAGAAAACCCGGAGTCAAAGATAGGAGAACAATCCCTCCCTCTTTGCTACCTGCACTTTACTTTTCCAAGCCCAATTACAAACATGAGCTGTGTACTGTTCCCATCGTTCCTGTGAGGTGTTACAGGCAGTATCCCCATTTTACAGTTGGGAAAACAGGCGCACCAAGGTGAGGGATTTGCCGCGGGGCACTCTGAGTCAGTGAAGCATTCCAGCTCCTCAGCTGCCAACACCCAACACAGCACAAGAGGAGAAAATGTTGGTAGCAGCAAGCTTTTAAAAGGGTTATGTAACTTCCTCAATTAACTTTATGGTATTCTGTGAACACTGTTTTTGAAAGAGTTCTTGGCTACATCAGTTTTGTTAATTTCCTTCTTTCTAAACTTTTTCCTGCTTTTCTACAATGATTCCTACCTCTTTCTCCCTTGCTTCCTCAGCTCTTCTCCTGGCTTTCCCCATTCATTGTATTTATTACAGGAGTCACTGCAATTGCCAATGAAATCAGTCTTGAACACATGTTGAAATAGATACTTTACATCTTATTTATTAATGTTTACTTACTGCCCGATGTTTTATGTTCTCCCATTTGCTCGGGAAATTGCATGCACTCATTCCCCTTCAACATCCCTCTCCATCCCAAAGGAGGGAAAAGCTAGCCAGGCTCATAAAGCAACTTAGCTGTTGTTACCAACATAAGAAGAAAAAGTCCAAGGCTGACCTTCCCCACATCATGATTCATTTACAAAAAGACCAACTCAATGCTCCCATCTTGTACAGAGAGAAAACAGTATCAGAGCAGGCTGAGCAAGGCACAGAAATTGTGTATTCCAAAAGTATTTATTACTTCTGCCTTTCAAGGAGGTATTGTTAATTTTCAACAGATCATTTTGGCCTTTGCAATAGCAGGTGGAAAAGCTAAAATGACTCTGAAATAGCTTGTGTTGCACATCAGCCAGCTCACCCTTCCCATCTATCTGCAGGGATGTTCACTCCATACTCAAAGAATAGTAGACAGCCTAGTGTAAGCTAGATCAGATTTTTGCCTCTTTAAGAATCACTTGTAGCCTTGTTGAATGCTGCAAAAACAAGTGTTGAGAAGCAAGATCTGATGCTTTTCACCTGCTGTCCTTCTGCATATGGGTTTTCTGTAGTCCTCAACGCAGTACCCAGGCTGATCCTAATAAAACCCTTGAGCACAGGAGTTTCTATAGACTGTACATTACCTCTCCTTAATTTGGCCTACTCTGGATTATCTAATGGCCTGGTGAACATGCCAGGTTTTGTTTGATGTTGTGATCTGATTTATTCTGGTTACACTGGGAAAGAAGTCGATGTTGTAGAATGATTTCAGTGTGACCAAACTGGTATATCTCTGCTCCCTGACCAAGAATACATTATCTTGGTTTCTCAGATATTTCATTCCAGACTTTCCATTATGCTCTGTGCCAGACACATACAGCATAACTAGAGATTTGGCCAGGGTAAAAAATGTTTAATTGAATATGTAAAGCATACAGAAAACATATTTGCATCCTTTCACAACACTAAATGTAACTAAGTAATAACTGCTTCAGGCTGAACCTTTTGATTGCAACGAAAGCTCAAAAAGAAGTGATGAAAGTAATGTTTCATAACAGTGAACCGATGTTTCTCTGAATTTTCAAGAACAGATTGACAATTCACTTCTCCGCTCGGGATGCTCTTCCCCCACTTTGGAGAAGGATCCCTTTATTTCAGACATTTTAAAAGAGCGTTGGAAGTTATGAAGTCTGGCACCAGAAGTTAATTTTCTTTTCCTGTTTCTTTACACAAAGAGCTCCTACAGAACCCATCTGGAGCAATACTACACACTGATCTCTACCAACAATTTAACACCATCTCATCCTGATCTGACTTGCCTCGATTAGTTCAGCTATCCTGGACACACTAAGCATTTTCATCAGCAATTCAAATGTGGTTACACTATCTCACTTCAAACAACTTCACTATCAAATTCATTAAAGTCCTTTAACAGCCTCCTGATTTCTTTTCCATGAGATACCCCCACCCAAAAGGCAGCAATATGCAGCCTGGAATTGCCATGTTATTGAGCAGAAACTCAGCATCTGTCCATGACACAACTCATTTCGCAGTTATTCTCACAAACTGCCTTCATCATTTCACTTGAGCCTCTCCTCTTGTCTTCTCGCTCACTGACCCTTTCTCTCTGCTTTTTCTGCTCCTCTGTTCACACTGATTCTTTGCTTCCCTAAAATGCTACCTATTTAGTCAATTCTCTCCAAGAAACAGGACACACAGACACAAACCAACACTCTTGGATTCATAATCCAAGCTTCATTGAGTTATGGATGGGTTCCTGTTCAATCAAGCTATCCTAAATATTGTTTCGGTCATTAGGATTTTCTTAAAGTGAAATAAAAATATAGCGTAAGGATAAAAAACATGGGACAATTAAAACATGGGAAAATTAGCAAAAGAAACTATATTTCACAATGCCTGTGGCAAAACCAACCTGTAATTTTTGCAGCCTTTTCCTCTTGATTCACTCTGTTTTCTTCATCTTCTTCATTGTCTTCCTCAAAATCATCTAGGTTACCAATATCAGCTTGTTTCATACTCATCAAACTAGCCAGGCTTTGCATGTCTTCATCCCTAAATAAAAAACATTACATCAGGGACTAAAATGCAGCTTGTTAATACCACATCTGATATTACTGAATTCTTTAAAATTCTTTAAATATTTTGATGTTTTCTTCACGGAGGTCTATGATATCAGATCTGATCTTGAATATAGTGAAAAAACAAAATTAATACACTCATAAATATATATCAAATACTGAAGGGAAAGTTTTAAATTATCAAAATTGTAAAGGGTAAAAAAAATCCTGCTTTGCATCAAGAGCTACCTTAACAACTGCTTCCTAAATTTTTAAGCCAGCCCAGAAAGGCTGGTAAATGCTTGCCTGGTCTGCTTTGGTTAAAGTGAAAATGCTTGGTCAGACCTACTGCCCACATGCTGCAAGCAATATCTACATTCATTCATAACTCCTGATGCTGCTACAGAAATTAAAATCCCTTTTCTAAATATCTGAAATTATTAACAAGATTAAAAGGCAGTATCTATTTACACATACTGGAAATGCTCCAATGCTTTCATAAAGAGCAGGTTTTTCACATCCCTTGTTCAGAGTACTATGAAAGCCCTGTCAATAACTTGCAATCTACCTGACTTACAGTTTTCTGTCTGAAACCTACCAATTTCCATGGGAAGAAGATACATGCAAACCTAAATGGATCCATTTTTACAAATTATGGCCTCAAAACCCAGTAACAGCATAATATAGCTGTTTACTATATAGTTCATAGATGCTGGTTGCTCAAGTTTAAGTGCATATCAGCTGCTGACTTCTTCCATCCTCATTTTCAGCTGCATTTTAACCATGTTAAATCACACCCAAATACTTCAAAATATCTTTTTTATATGGTATGCCAAGATGTGGTTCACAACAGGTTAGTCAGAGAGGGGAAACAGTCATAGGAATTAATAGTAAGGAATGCATCTGTGGCTTTCAAAGCATGCAGATAAAACAATTTTTGTGTCAAAATGTTTTAACATGGAAGCCTGGAAAGTAATTCATGCAATGTTTCTTGGGCATATATTGCAGTGGGCAATGTCTAAAAATGCATTCAGAATACTGAAAGCCAGAAGTAAACTGTTAGTCTTTTGGAAAGGAAAAGAAATTTAGGAAGAGGCAGAAGAACCATTAGAACAGCTTCCCCATCTACCTCTTTTTGTTCTGCCATTCTCACACTGCCATATTCTAGAGGCAGAAAGGCAAAACAAAACTACCCTAGCTGAAACTAGGACTGTGACAAACAATCCATTCTCCAACCACATGAATATCCAACACCTAGAATCTGACAGAAACTGCAGGAAAGGTTACAGCATCTGCAAAAATAATCTGTATCCTCTGCCCTCTAAAGGCCATTGAAATAAGGGACAGAACCAAGTGAGTGAGTCAAGGAAGTGGTAAACAGAGCCCAAGAGAACTCTTTCCACAGGATGTTCTTGTGCTCAACCCAAAATCTTAACTCTGACTCCACCCTCCCTCACCTTCCAACTGGCTTTGTCCTTATTGCATTCTTTGTGAAATATCAGTGGGCTCACTTGAAATCTGCCAAGGGTATTGTTGAACACACACAGGCATATTAAACACACACTTCCACTCATTTCAGACCTGTAGATACTTTTAAACTGTTGTTAGTTAAAATGTCTGTAAGAGTAAAGCACAAGCCATTTGTCTCTGAAGAACACAAGACTGAAAACAGAGTAAGAAAGAACTTTTACTCAGTTAAGAAACCAAGTATGACAGGAATGATAGGTATGCTGAAGGATACTCTCAAATTCCACCATTCTATATAGAAAGAGCTCTTTATCCAAAGGATTCTTTGAAAAGCAACACAAAGCAGGCTATCTGGTTTAAAAAAAAACAAAACCAACAAACAACAACTTACGTGGCTTTTCCTTCCCTCAGGAAAATACAAGATAAGGAGAACTGTAGTGTGGCAGATACCACTTTCTTAGACAAAGGCTTGAATTTTAACCTGACATCTGTCTGTGTAGGCATGGGGCTGGCATATTGCTTCATGTTGATGCTGCTGGTGGCAAGCGCTTTTCTACGTCCAGAAGGAGATTCCTGAAAGCAAAAGAGAAACAAAGTTAATGTAAAAGGTTACACTAAAACCTGCATGTGCACAAAACAAAAAATGCACTCATTAAATCTGTAGGGGGTTTTTTTGGTTTGTTTGTTTTTTGTTGTTTTTCTGTTGTTTTGTTTTGTTTTGGGGTTTTTTTTTAAAAAAAACACTATGGCCCTGTCAAGTGACAAAAAACCATTTCTTAAACTATGTCAGTCACTCATGGTGGTGGGATTTTGAACACTTTCTTAGTGCAATTGGGAAAAAAAAAGGAAAAAAAGGTTGTCCATTGTGATTAGTGGTGTTCCATGAAAAGACCTAGGATGTCTTTAATGGCTTGAGCTTGAAGCAAATCCACAGCACACATCCAGTTAAACTTCTGTGAATATATTTCCATTTCTTTTCCCAGCAAATTGGACTCGCTCTGTCCAAACCTGGATAGTTCTGGAACTGGAACTTCCAGCCTATGGAAGACATAGGTGTCAACCATGCATGCATTTCTCTGCATAATGGTTTGAGGTCATCTAGTTTGTGTTCCATGCTCAAATATAATACCTGAGTATTTTTCAGAGCAGTGCTTTTTCTCATTAGTGTTGTATGTGCACTATCAAGAGTGAAAGGTTTCTGAAACTAAAGTTGACAATACTTCCAAAAACACTGATAAAAATTTTGCAAGGAAAAAATAAAGAGCAAAACAGATAAAGATAAAAGCCAAAATTTTATTTGAAAAGCCTAAGTTGTATTTCGTTATGGAAGTGTTGCTTATGGTTTAACAATTCAGACTAATTAATCTAAAATGCATCTAAGAATCTACTCTCTTGTTCTAGCTAATATCAGCATCAGCAGGAAAGGGATGATTATATGTAAAAAAACTAAAGTAATGAAAAATAAAACAAAAAAACCTTGCCATTAATTCTTTTGAAAAATGTTTTCACAATAAGACTACATTTTACTGCAGTTGACAATTTGTGTTGAATAAAGAATACTAATTCAATCAAAACATTCAAGCATCCTTTTTCAAAGTACTTGACATTTCTGCCCAGTAGAATAAGTCAGAATGTAATATGTCATCCCCAAAGAATACCTTGTTTAAAAAACTAGGCCTTATCTGACAGATTATGCACAGCAATATTATACAGAACTATTAGTGCATGTAGATACCTTATGAATGAATTTCAAAAATGCATCAAACACTTGAGAAGGATTTAGGCCCTCTCAGAAGAAATACTTAAGAATATGCAAATACTCTCAGCTGAATCAAGTTGAACAGATGCGACTCTCACAAACAATACGAGTGCTCTTTTCCTGGCTGCAGTTGTCAATCAAAGAGCAAGATTAAGGTCCAAGGTTCTGACAATGTGTAAAATGGAAAGTATGATCAGGAAGTTTCCATTATTACACAGATATGAATAATAATAATAATCTGTTATTATATCATACCTTTAGAACAACTAACATTATTACTCATTATACCAAATTCAAGGTTTACGGCAGCGCCTGTTCAGGCATCTACACCCAACAGGATCTTAGACAACTCATCTTGGAATATTTTGAATAGTTGATGTTGACAGTAAGATGTTGATCTTAGCAAGATCAACAGATTTTAGAACAAATCACAAATGTGGGTACTTGCTTGCAGCCTTCCAGATGAATCATTGTTCAGCCACACCATGCCTGTATTCTGATGTTCTCCTCTCAGTCTGACTACAAAAATCTTTTCTCAGTAGCTGTGAATATCCCCAGTTCAACAAAGATCTGGATTTATTTCCTTGTGTAGCTACAAATGCCTTCTCAGTGCTGGCTCACCTGTTACATGCACCCAATGCCATGAGAGCAACACAGAGACCTCTCACCAACTCCCTTGGGGGAAGCACCATAGGGAACACCAATATGCTTCAGTGACTCCAAAAAACAGGGGTACTTGGGGGCAGAGCTACTTTCTCTTGTTACGAACACACCATCTAATCTGGTAAGTCTGTTATGTTGTCTTCATCAAAGTGATTTTACCAAAAAAGTCAAAGCAAACATGATAAGTTATCTCAATCTCCAATTCAATGGTGGTTCTGAAGAGAAAGAACACAACCTTAAACTTGCAAGCATGCAAAACCTAGACACAGCTAGCAAGGCAGAAAAATTTTGAAATTATGTAAAATTACATTTTCACTTAGTATCTACTTATTGTACGAATGATCATCTTGTCATTTGCACCTTCAGATTATCTGGAGTGAATAAGAGACATGAATAAGGAAGAGAATAAGGAAAAGGAAGACAATAAGGAAACTTCGCCCAGTGAAGATGATCATCAGCAGTTCCTAACAGAATCTTCTGGTGTTAGCTGCTTTAGAGGAAAAGGGAGATGAGAATGCAGGCAGCAGTGTGCCAGGACAAAGAGAAGAAGCCAGCCATGAGCATGAAGATTTTCCTATCACTACATATCCTGATGTGCTGTGAAGAACAAGATACATTTGGCAATCAAATTCAGTCTTCCTAAAAAATGAATTATTTTCATAACGTTTTTGCGGGCCAAAGACAGAAGCTGATTTTCCAAGTTCCCATTGCCAACAAAAATCCAAATTTATACATTTATCATACAAAAAAAAACCCTCAAATAAAAAAAATAGGCAGTGTCTGATCTTTCAAGTCTTATTTTGCTTCACATGCAAGTTTAAGAATATCCTCCTACTCTTCCAGAAAGTGAAGTCAGTCAGAAGTTTTCCAGTGTTTTCTCCATTTAAGCTTTACAAGTTTTAGTTACATAAGTAGATCATGAAAAACTGTTTGCACCTTAAAAGAATATTCTCAAGATGTTTAGGTCCATGACTGATTTCCCAATGGATTATGTTTTCTTCTCTCACACAACCAATTTCCAAAAAATTGTCTTTAAATGTCAGAGCATGCTATAACAACTTCTTACAAAGACAGTAGCATTTTCTTCCAAAAAACCTACATGCTTCCTGTAGCAGAATCTGAGTTACTCCAGAAACACAGAGACATTTTGTTGCAAGGTAACTCTTAAATTAGCAAGGGTAAAATAATCCAAGAATGGAGTAGACAGAAAAAGCTGAGCAGTAAACTGGAATGAGTTATTCCAAAGAGAAGCCCACTTAGGTAGGATACTCTGGTCTGGTGTTTACTTGTGTCTCATATGACCATGTGGAAAGTCAAGCAGGAATCCCAGTGCAAATGTTTTAATTGCTCAGCTTTCTTGCTTTTGCCTATATAATCAAAGTTTAAACTGTGTACGGCTCTGTTATGCCTCCAGGTGTTTTACATTCATGTGACTACCAGGGTTGCCACATCCTGTTTTGTGAAAGGGTGGCATGAAAAGTCAGTTTTGAAGTCACAAGAGAGAAACAATTCAACGCAATAATAAAAGAAGTGACAAAATGCAACACTTAATAGTGAAGACTGAGCACATTCTGTAAGGAAACAGCAATTAGAAAACCCTGTACTTTTAAAAAAGGTGATGCTTTATGCAAATAAAATCAGCTATGATATCTGAATGTTGCAGAAAGACAGAAGATAACATACAATGCCAGTAAAATACAAATACCTCTATGTTATCTTCCAGCTCAAACATCCTACTGAGACTGAGAATGGGCACTGCTGAACTCATAAGAGAATAGGTGGAGCATTGGTTAACAACCATTTTTTGCTGTTTCGTATTTGTTACTGTATAGTTTTCTAACAAGTGAAACAGCACACTGAAAAAAAAAAAGTGTCATTCTCCTAGAAATCGTTAATAAATTATTAAAAATATAACTACTTGGCATGTTAGCAGGAACTACAGCAGGCCTATCTTCTTGCACTACAGAATAATGGATGTGTTGGGTCAACTAAACATACAGTCACACAGGCTCTGAGAAACCTGCATAGTATTTAAAAGTACATTGTTTGCAAAAGTGATCATTGTAATTCACTTAAGAGTAAAGGCTGCACATAAACACACAGCAATACTCCTCCATCCTTCTCTCCTGTGTTAGGGAATTTCTGCTTTTGTACTCTACACTTTTGTCTCACAAGCAGCTTCACTTCCCTTGAGAGTCTCCTCCTCCTACTCCCCACAGTCCCCAAAATGCCTCAAACACACACCATATTTTGGGTGAAATAACCCCATCTGGGCAGTACACTAAGCTGTATCAGCTATTCCCAGCTAGCAAAGCAGCAGGATGAAGCACATGGCTGGCTCTGCACTATGCCCACCGAGTGGTTGACACTTATGCATCCTGGTACTTCACAAAAAATCAGAGAAAATTTTTAAAAATATGGAATAAGAAGATAAACTCAAAGCTAGGGAAACAAAATTTAATACAGAAAACAGAAAGATTTGCCAACACCCTGGAGTACTTTTATTTCTGAATTCGGACAAAGAAATATGTAGAACAAGCAATACTCAGTAAATCAATAAAAGTTGCATTCCTTTTTTGTACAGAAGAATATTAGTAATAATGAACTCAGGTAGTTCCCAATTTCTAAGCATGCTGGTTGTGTTTGCACAGACTTTAAAAACATTGTCACCTCAGACAGCAACAGAAGTGCAATTCAGCAGTGCCATCAGAATGACAAATTTTGGTCAATCTGAAGCCACAGGAATCACAAGCTGCGAGTGCAGGGACAGGCTCAGACGAGCTCTCACCTTGTGCTCGGCTCTGCCAAAGCCTGGGGACTGACAGCACACACAGACACACACTGCAAACAGGATTGCAAAAAGCTGTGAGTGGTTTTTCAAGGAGCAGTGCCCAACACTATCTCTCCCCAGCATTTTATGTTCCTTCCACAAACCCTCAAATGACCATCATATTACGAAGCTTGAGGCTAGAGAAGGGAAAATGAACACTGGCCAAACTACTCAAATGAAGCTGCATTTACTGACACAGATACAGGGCCAGACCCATTTATCACACAAATTCCTTTTCAGTAATGCAACCATGCATTATTCCTGCCACAACATTCCTGACTGAGCAGTGTCAGGCATCCCAAAACTTACTACACAGGAAGT